CAGCAAGCGCTCCAGTCCTGCCGTTTCCTTTGCCGCTGCGAACTTGCGGCGAATCTCCACCAGCGAGCGCGCATGGTATTTCTGCGGCTCCTGCGTCCATTGCGTGCCGGCCAGGTCAGTCGTGAAGCTCTTGTCCCCGCGCTCAATCGCGGCGGCGTTCGCCGCCGACCACGGCAGGAACAGCGCGCCCACTTCCTGGGAGAGGAGTGGTGCGAGCGTCGGCGCAAGCGCGTCGAGCGTTTCGAAGCCGCCTTCGGCCTTTGGCGACAGCATCCGCTGCACCCAGGCCATCGCCTTGGGCGCCGAAGGCCCGCATGAGGGCGCCCGGCGTTGGATCGGTCGCGGCCTCGTAGAGCTGCGCCCACAGCCCGAAATCGGCCATGGCCGGCCGGCCTCCCAGCAGGTAGGGGCGTGACGCGAGGTGCGCCTCGATCAGGGCCAGCGCCTTCGCGAACGAGGCCTCGATGACCGGTTCAGTGGCCGTATTGGAGCCCACGAAGCCCAGCCGTCCCGTCATGCGTTCGGCCACTGCCGCGCGTGCCTGTGCAACCGCAAGCGGGCCCTGCGCCCCCATCATCTGCAGCGCGATGCGTTCCGCCGTCGACCAGACATCCGGCTGATAGCGCCAGCGATAGTGAAACATCCATTTGTTGCCCCACTCGTCGCCATACTCTTCGAGGAGCGCGGAGACGAAGGCCAGCGCCGGATCGTCGGGGATCACGGACGGCTCGGGATGCGAGGCTTCGAAACGTTCGAGGATGGGCGTGGAATCCTGGATGCCCTCGCCTTCCGGCGTCACGACCAGCGGGACGAGTGGCAGCTTGGCGTACTTCTGGAACTCCGCCTGCACCGCGGGCGAGCGCGGGATCCAGTCGTGGTCGATGTTCTTGTAGCGGAAGAAGGACCGGACCTTCACCGAGTAGGGGGACAGTTCCGAGCCGAAGATCCGGTACGTCATGGCACCCTCAGATCCAGCGCTTGCGTTTCAGCCACAGGAAGATCGAGCCGACGATGACGACGACCATCACCCAGAAGAGCGCATAGCCGTACTTCCAGCCCAGCTCGGGCATGTTGCCGGTATCGCGGTCGAAGTTCATGCCGTAGATGCCGGCCAGGAAGCTGAGCGGCATGAAGAACACGGTGATGACCGCCATGGTCTTCATGACCTCGGACATCCGGTTCGACGAATCCATGAGATAGACTTCCATCAGGCCGTTCGCCATTTCGCGGTAGCTCTCGACCAGTTCGAGTACCGCCACGGCGTGGTCGAAGCAGTCGCGCAGGTAGGTGCGCGTCTCCGGCATGATGAACGGCACGTCGGGCCGCATCACCGCCAGAACCGTCTCGCGCTCGGCCCACTGGATGCGATGGAATGACACCAGCGCGCGCCGCGCCTGGTGGATGTGCGCCAGCGTGTCCTTGGTGGGATGGCCGAGCGCCTCCTCCTCCAGCTCCTCGAGATGGGTCGACAGTGCCTCGATCAACGGGAACTTGCGATCGACCACGAGATCGATCAGCGCATAGACCAGATAGTCGATGCCGAAGGTGCGGAGCCGGGAGCCCGCCGTCTGGATGCGGTCGCGCACCGGCTTGAAGATGTCCGCCTTCAGGTCGTGGAACGAGATGACGTAGTTGTCGCCGAAGAAGATGCTGACCTGCCGGCCCTTCAGCGTGCAATCCTCATAGGCCGGATCGTTCAGGACGATGAAGCCCTGCCCCTCGTAGAGGTCGAGCTTGCTGCGCTGGTTGGCGTGGAACACGTCCTCCAG